AGACGGTTCATTTGTCTTTCCGGTTCTCATCTCCTTCGTCTCGTGTACGCTCGGTGCATTACACCCGATCAACAGTTTAACATTCTCATCTTCTACTCTCGGAAAACTTACGTCCTTTAAATAGGACCAGGATGCCATCTGACGCGCCGTTGGCACAGTTCTGTAAACTGCCGGTAGTTTTCTGACTGTCAATACCTTATGGATCTTAACGGATGATGAGAAGTCTATCGAGTGCAACTGTACATCGACCTCTTTAGATACCAACGACGATTCGTTACTAATGGTCTTCAGAGATACAGTCCTCGGTTTTTCTTCGAGGCCTAACTTATCAGCCAGATCTTCAACTATGAGAGAAAGGCGCAAGTCTGAATAATTTTCTCACCGTTTTTTATCCATACGGGAACTACTGCAAATGCCACTGACCTGTGTATGCACTTAACGCCTTCCTATGTACAAATCTGATTAAGCATCACTGATAGTATCTCTCTGTTCTTCCCGCTTCTCATGTATCTTCGAAGGAGCAGATAAGATAGATCCAGTCTGCTACAGACATGTTACTTTACTCCCATTATTGTTTCGAGTGACGGAAGGATCGGTGAACAATTAAATGAAGAAATGCGTGAACACAAAACAACGTTTCCCATGAAGCCTAACATGGGTTTACGAGAAAGAGTTGTGTACGTTCAAACTTCTCATAAAGTGAGACAGCTAATAAACTTGAAAAAAGGAGGAGAATAAGCAGCAAACAAATGTAAAACGACTGAATTCTCGATATTTGGTTGGAACGAATAAACAAGGAATCAAGGTTTATTCGAAAATACACTCTTCTAAACAGCGTGAAAAGTGTTTCTGAGTCGCCCAGATAAAATTACAAGGAAACACAACTTTTGTGCTCAAATTTATCGTCTCCAATTCGAGGAAGAAAACGAATAATACCCAAATTACAAAATATCTCAAACGGTAAAATGTGTATTCTAAGTTTTCTGTAGCACAAAATGGTACAATATGAAACAAAAGCATGGTAAATAAATAATTTTTCGGTATTCAGCTATCTACAAGTTTATTCCCAGCAAGTTATGATGAAGTACCTGCATGAGACGACTCAAATAACATCTTTTAATGAGAAATCATGGATGAAAAATGATCGACCAAACCACTCTGTGACCTTGAAGGAATTATATCCTAGATGGTGGAATTCAGGAAACTGAAGTGCCGGTACTGTTTGGGACCTCTCCCTTCAATGTGCACTCACATGACCTGGTTACAGACATAGTACAACAATGCTACAGACTCTTGATAGATACAAATGATAAAAAGGATTTACAATTATTTGTTTGGAAATTGTTATCAGTACTATCATAATGCAAGTACAAATAAATTATTCATCAAAATGTGTCGTGACTTCACTGATTTGCAATCTCGTTCGGCACACCAATACGGGTTGAATAACGTTGTACTCGAATACATAATCCACTAACAACAAAGGCCAGGCAATAGTTATTCAGCACAAATGACAACAGGCCATTACAGAGACACAATAAATTAAGGTTGACTGTCAACATCATAAAGGAATACTTTATAAGAAATAGTGTCAAAACATTTAGAAAGACCAAGTATTTGTTTGTATTTACTCACCAGCCACACATCAAACCCGTCGCGGGTTATAAAATTAATTGAAACACCCACTTTTTATACACACCACAGTTTTCTGTCAAGCACCGTAGCGACGGGAAACTCCAAACCATTAGCTTCATAACTCAATTTACGCTGGCTGATAAAGCAAAAGCACGGAGATTTGTCTGACAGCTATGAAAACAATTAGTTTTATGGATCTGGTTGATCAGCTGATTCAAATTTCGGAAATGGGGTACAGTTAGCCTACAAAATTATCTGTTGGGTTAGTAGATGTATTCGTGTAACTGAAAGCATGCTTCATCCCAAAAAGAGCAGTTCAAGTCAATCAATTCAAACTACATCTGCCGCAGACTACATAATGAATACTTCATACTTCATACATACTTCATACGCATGTGAAACACTACTTTTGATCCACTTTTCATTTTCGGTTACTTTATTTTGTTCAACTGCTCTCTTCCTAGTTTCTTTATCTGCAACGCCCACATTTATCCACTTGCAAACAAAAGACTTGTGAAAAAGTTACCTGCTAGGACGGCCAAAGGTAACATCATAATTTCGAATTGTAGTGTTTGCTGCTATGTAGAGCCCACATGATTTGTCCTAGCTTTTGGATAAACTTGCTAACTTGTTCGTCTGAAACCGTTCCCTTTTGCGTTCAGACATTGTCAGTTTACTGTCTATAACACGGGATACTTTTACTTAAGTGCATGTGTGACGTATCTGTTTCACTTATAATATATCTAGTTTGTTTTCATCAGACCACAGGTAATTAGTCATGCCTAAGCACGCTAAGCTGGCCCACTCACCTTCTCCGCTCTACTTCTCTTCTCTTGGACTTGCCATGTTTCTATCCTCATATCTCCGTTCCTGTACGACTGCTGAGATATTTTCATCCAATTAAAACCGTACTGAGCTTCACATTGCCTATGTCTCACTAACAGGTTGGCCTGAAAGCAATGGGCAAAAATTAAACGGAAGGTTTATTCCACAGTGCCTCTCCGGCTCTATTCTTGCGTAATATATATCCACTATATTCACTAGCTTTATCTTCCTTCAAAACCTACGTCTCGTGTATTCTCCTTTTCATATAGTCTAACAGTCTAGTTTTTAATTTATTGAGCAATGTGCATAATAATAGAGTTGCAACTACTACCTATGCAATAACTAATGGAGAGGCTAATAAAGTTCTCAATTCAAGGTTTAGTAATGAGTCAAAAATCTCCGTTTCTAGCAACGGAATAATGGAAACGGATCCTCGATCCTCGCTCCCGTTTTCCGACTAACGTAAATTATTAATAGTTCAAGCATATCAAACGACGTATTTACGTGCATTTGTAACGAAAAAACACATCACTCCACCGACAAACTTCAGCTGAGTTTCCAGGTTAGTGGTGACGATCAAGCTCTTGCCAAAATTCCTACTCCTGCTAAGACTGGAGAACGAAAATGTTTCCTAAGCTCCTAGCAGCGCAGCCTATTATTAGAAAAGGACGTAAATACGACATACTATATCGCATTCTAGTCGCTCACGAAAATCGGTGATGCAGCACTTCAACCTGTCTGTCACGGATATTCAGAGCTGAAAAACTCTTTAATGCGTATCACCTATCAGATCGAGAATACCCAAAGCCAAGTCAAAGCGCAAGTCAAAAATGAGGAGGATGTAAGGTATATTTGAATGGTGGTTTGAACATTGGACAGTGAGTCAACTAAATTTGCCAGCTGATGCAAGATGTGTTGCACGGCCTAATGCAATCTAAAGCGGATGCGTGACAAAGCCACTTCAGTTAGCGGCATTCAGTACATTCAGCACCAACGTAAAATACTCAAAACGATGTCTTTGGGGATTTATTTACCTCAGCAACTGACAAATGACTAGAATTAGTGTGAACAACTGAATAAACCATCATTCATTAAACATTGCAAATACATGGAACCGTTTCAAAACAACAAGAACCGGACGCAAATAAACTAATCCATTTATACAAGTTCGCGAAAAAGACATTAGATATATTGCATATTGGACGAAAAAGAGCACAAACTTTGTTACACTGAAGCTACATACACATGCATGAAAGAGCATATAAACGTCCCCAAATCACAAGAAAGATTGAATAAAACAGCAGATGGTTAACAGTATATGACCACTGACCGATATTGTACAAGTGAAAGGTTTCTCTGAAGGATTCCGACCGTAGTCTTCACTTGGCATAGAAAAACAGATGCAATGGCAAAGTTCGCAGCAATAAGAAACATTTCCAAATGGAGCTAGCCGACAAAATACAGGCAAACCCAAAATATCTATTTAGGTTTATGACTAAAAGAAAACCTACAAACCAGGGTGTTGTGTCGTCAAAGGCCCGAATGGCGAAGATCTTACCAACCTAGAGATGACTGAGATCTCTAATGTCAACTTTACTGATCAGTTAAGCTAGGTACCTAAAAGTTCAGAGTACTATTCAAACCTAGTGCCAGGTGACGACCTCGGGAACTTCCGCCTTACTCCGACTTAATAATAAGAAAACTAAAGTCTTTCAGTCTAGGAAAGTCACTAGAATGTGACAATATTCGCCGTATTGTCTTGAAACAGTGTTCAGAAGCCCTCAGTTCACCGGTATGTGATGTCATCAGGCGTTCACTGGAGTCACACTAACTGCCAGCTGAATGGAAAAAGGCTACTTCCTCTCCAATCTTCACGGCAGGAGGTTGGAGGGCTCCAGCCAGCTACAGATCAGTCACATTACTACTGATACTATCGAACATGATGAAAGGAATAGTGAATGATTAAATGAGGGAGTGTATGGATAAAATCAACATTCTCTATGAAGTCTAACACCGGTCCTGCTCATCCAATCTTATCATGGGGCGAGACAGCTGGACAACCTTCTTGGACCGAGAAATACCGGACTTCGCTAAAGCTTTCTCCACGGCACCCACCTGCTCCTAATAGCGAAGGTTGCGCAGAAGATTAGCGTCAGTGATCCACTTCTATCTCAGCTCTGAAGCTACCTAGAAAACAGGAAGTTTCATATCAAGGTAAGGACGGTGAGCACGAGCTGGAGAGTGTCAGGGGACCATCTTCGGTCTGCTCCTCTTCCTGACATTTATTAGTGACTTCTTAGATAAAAAACCCCAGCTGCACTAATCTATGGAGACGATATGAAGTTCTGGAAGCCCATACGAAGAGAAGAGGATTCAAATGAGCTTCAAAAGGACCTTGAAACAATAGAGGAACGGGCATGTGGCCACAGGTTCGAATTGAAGCAGTAGAAATGTCATGTTATGAACATAGTGCCGCTCCACAGTCACCTCAGCGGACAGCTGCATGATGAGACTTGATAAACATATACTTACGTGCGGAATATCATTGAACAACTTTATACCTTAGCAACAAGGTTGTGCAGTTTCAAAAATTTCGCTATGCCAGAGGCAACACAAATGAAGATTGAAGAGAATACGGTTGTGTTCAACCAAACTAAAAGAGAAGCCTTTAATCTGAGTCAGCACTTTACTGAAATATCCAAGTATCTTAAGTCCTCTTGGAAAGTTGTTGTGTACGTTGTTTGTTTTGCTGTGACTACAACTATTGGTTTATAGAAATAAAGATGATATTACATATGAACATCTCAGCATTGTCAAATTATTCATAATTGCTGGGGCAACTGAGAAGTTTAGTGCTGCAGAGTTTGATTCTATTAGAAAATACCTTGAGACTGGTGGGTCTTTGCTAGTTCTTATGGGTGAGAATGGTGAGACAAATTATACTACAAACATAAACTTTTTGCTGGAGCAGTTTGGAATCATGGTCAACAGTGGTAAGCTAGTTAGTGAATTATTTAATGACAGATACTGTCCTCCGAACATCATATTTTAAATATTATCATCCTAAGGAAGCACTGATCCCGAACGGAATACTAAACAGGTATTCATGGACATATTTTTATTGATTGTATAGAGCAATAGCGGAAGTATCTGGGAAGCTGTTTATAACGGCCACGCGAATGGATGTATCATACAAACAGGCATTACAATTTTTATATCCTTATGGAGCTACCCTGAATGTTGCCAAACCTGCAGTTGCTCTGTTGTCAACAGGAAGTGTTGCGTTTCCACTTAATAGACCTGTTTGTGCTGTTTATAAATTCCCTGTAAGCATATATCTCAAAATTTATTTCTTAGTCACCTAATGGTGGAACCTTAGCTGTTGTTGGGAGTGCAGCCATGTTTTCTGATCTATATATAAACAAAGAAGACAATTTTAAGATATTTGAGTTTTTGTTCAAATATCTTACAGAAGAATCCATCACACTAAACTCTATAGATGCTGGAGAACCAGAAATTGAAACATACTACCAAGTTCCTGATATTATAAGCCTATCAAGTAACCTAAAGTCTTGCTTACAAGAAAGTGATGAACTTCCACAGAGTGTCAACAATTACTTCGATCAGAGTTTGTTTTGTATGAACACAAGACTCGTTCCAAAAGCCATCCAGTAAGTCTTTGAGCTAAAGATTCCAAACTTGATACACAAGGTAACCATTTTCTTCTTAATACTAGATCTTCCAAATACTTCCAACAAATCGGATCATTAGGTTACATTAGCCTCACATACTAGACGTACTGTAGTTTTATGTAACTAAAAGGTGGTATTGAAATTCGATTTCACCATTCAAGTTGATAAAGTGTACCAAATTGCCCAATCAAACTAGTCATTTGGGCTGCAAGTAGTCACTTTAGGCACTTATATTTTTATAAAAAGCTTACTTGTTTCCGTACAGACAGTCATTTTATGCAAAAGCCATATTCGGAAAGTTAGACATAAATAAGCTAAATAAACACACTCTTCTTTCTACGATCAATAATGTTTAGGTAGTGATATACATTTTCAACCGCTTTTCATCTTTAAAGGGCTTATGAAAAACTCCGTGTGAAACATGAACCTTTAAGCGTAATTGCACCCCAGTTTGAAACTCCTCTACCTCCATTGCAACCTGCAGTAAGTCACATATGTAAATGCTTTGGTTTATAACATTTATACACGTATCCGAATTTCAGTGTAAGATAGTGTTTTAATTTATCTGATACCTACCTTCACTTTACCAAACTAACATAATAAATCGGGGGTATTGACCCTCTTCTATTTCCTTAAAAACTGTACTCCAGTCTAGTATCCATGTCTGGTGCATCTATGCCTACGTTCGCACTATATAGTGCATAGGTCTTGCTTATCGTATATTCATGCGATATAAACAAACAAACATCTCTGTATTCTGAGGCAAAATCAATGTTTCGGTAATTTGTTGTGTCAGTTGGACACAGTTATTCACTCCCAAGGTTTGTGGGTTATGAGGCCAGCAATTAAACTAAGACTGCTGTAATGAAATTCGGTAGTTTGCACTTATAACTTAAGTCTACCAGCTATGCCGCAGAGAATCTTTCATAAGGCAAATAGATGGGTGTTTCTATCCTCATTGGGGCCACAAAGACACTGCTGAATAGTCTCGTACTAGAACAAACCGGCTGCTCAAAGCTCTTTGGTCCTTAATAGTTATCCAGCTAACTTCAGTCCATGATTTTACCCACCCTATTCAAAAACCTTTACAAATCCAACGATCTAAAATTATTCTAAGCTTAATTTATCTAACTTTATACTGATTTTTACATTCTAAACCAAGTAAAATGATCTGTTGTATTCATGTTTACCAGGTATTTCCTCCTAATTTTCGTGAACCTGGTCCACCACCATTGGAATTATTCGACTTAGATGAACAATTTTCTACACCCAAAGCACGTTTAGCTCAAGTAACAAATAAATGTAAGTTTTTTAAGAAGTTTGTAGAGATTGAAGCAATAAATTAGAGCAATTAATTCATTTATGATGATTTATCGAATAAATTACTACTTTGTATAGCCTCAATTTTCAAACAAAAGGCAACAGAATATTAAACTACAATTGAATTTAGATAACTGGTTGCCTGTTGGTCTATCTGACAATTATAATGCTTCAGCTTCGTCTCACCTGATATTTTATGGAACTACATGCTGTCACAATTAAGTACAAGAAAGTTTCATTCGCAACTAATGTATTACACATTTTTATATTGTTGTTTAACAATTCAGTTACACATAACGAACTAATATCTATGGTTTGTATGTTTACCATAACAATATGACAAAAGAAAACTATATTAACATAGCACTCATACGTACATACCATTCAAAAGAAGTATGTCTTTTTTACAACAGATAAAAATCAAGGTTGTTTGTTTTTTTCACGTACAATATCAGTATAACGGCTTACTTAATCTGATCTGCATTCTTCATTGTTAGTTTTTTTGGTTGCTTTTTATCTACTGTATTACCATGATTCAAACACGTGGACATGAAATACACTGGTAGGAGTATGTTGATGAAATACATATATTTCATGTGGTTATCGTTAAAATACAAATAATGTCAAGCATTTGAAAGTACTCTGTAGGTAACTCTACCCGTAATTGGTAGTGATACTTACTGTCTATGGGGTTTAAACCCGCAAAACCAACTTTCACTACATGAAACGTTGACTTTGAGCTGTTTGGATTTTCTGTCAACTACTTTCAAATATTCACATCCAAACATTTTACGTACCATGTTGAGTCGTTTTGAATATTGACTAAGTAATCAGACCAGTATTATAAAACTAGACGGATATGATGACGCTGGTCAATACAATTCAGCGATCAGTGCATTGTTAATCTCATTCATTATCTATACCTCCATAAGTTTTATTTCAAGATCTGTAAATCATTGTGACAATTGTATTACCTCCAAATGAATAAGACACGGTCGAGTGGCTTAGGTTTTCAACCTAAATCCATTTATAATAAAAAAGAACATCCATTTGAGGCCATCAGTAAGTGCCAATATCTATCTCTACAAACAGCAGAAATAAACGATGCTTATTTATTTCATACAATTTTACATTATAACTTACTGCAGTCAGGTTACCAAATAAATAAGTAACAATTTTATATTCTTCAATTTCGTCTTGAACAATTTATACTGACGTTGTTGACTCAGAATATAGACTATTACAATTGTTTTTCAAATTATATTCATTTCAATGTTTAAAATTTTTTCATAACACTTAGGTAATGAAGACGATCTAGAATATTACATTCGTGAATGTGGTGATATTTTGGGTGTAACACAGAAATTATCAACAGACAAAATTTCATCTCGTACCATTTTAGAAGTTATATTTAATGAATTAGTAGAGTTTAAAAAGTTTAATCAGGTAAGTAGACCATTTTTTTGTGTATATATATATTCTCACATAATGCTTATTGTTATAAGAGAAATGTAACTAAACCGATCACATATAATAATGACCACCAGTTGCATGCATCTGTGTAGAGTGTTGGTGTAGCCTATTTAGACTTAAAGCTAGTGCTTATCGATTCAAATATGACTTTGTTATTTAGTAAGCTGCTAGACAACCGTAATCATATAACTCATTTTGGAAGGCGCAGTATTTAAATCTATACTTTAAAAAATCATACTACTTGTTGTAGTACATGAAGTACATTTAAAAGAATATTTTATTTAAAACACTGTTATGAAATTTGAGAGCATTACACTTCATTTTGACATAATTTTGGTCCTTTTTCAACTAAAAAAGCCCTTTTGCCATAAAATAACAATAATTTGAGAACCATTGGATAGATAGGTGTTTCATATTTATTTGCGACTCCTCAATAGAAAACTCATATCTCATGATAGATATGATGTCGTTGATAAGGATTAGTATATTTCTATTGAAATCATAAATTGAAAAATGTTAGACAACCATCAGAAATCCGGAAGCACTGGACGGCCATTTCATCCTGGTATAGGACTCATCAGCAGTGCGCATCCACAACCTCAACAGTGGGAGTCAGACCCAGGGCCGGTCTCTTGTGCGGGTGCTTAAAGTCTTAACCTCTGAAATGATATCAAACGGTGTTACTATATAATTTCTTTCAACCCACGATATCAAACTACCTCATGGTATAGTTGGTATATTTCTTTACTTCTTAAGTATCTGATGATTTTAGTTAGAGGTGTTCTGTAAAGATTAGTTTGGTTTAAAAGTTATGTTCGTCACCGACTGTTTTCAATAGGGAAGCCATTGAAAAGAGGGGAGCATTGGAAAAGTTTTCTATCCTTGTATGAAACTCCTTAACAGTGAGCATTTTTAACTTCATTAGAGATTGGAACTAAGGTCTTCAAATCTCGGAGGGAACATTTAATCACTCAAATCCTCAGTCTGGTATTCAGCAGCACAAACTTGTATATGCTAATAATACTATTCTATTCAGTTCTACTGTCTTTCTTAGAATATCAAATGAAATTAATTTACTGGCTATTGCTTCCGGATTATCAACCACTGGTCCATAGGTTTAATAAAAGCTCCAATTATTACAGTTTATTTGGTCGATTGTAGTATCATCAACTCCCATATGATAAGGATTATAACTCAGCTTAAGTGTAACATCCAATACTGGAGTGTAAATATGCAAGTGTCGTATATTTCTCTGAGCTAGATATTTTACCTGTCAATCCTCCATCATCGTTCTGGATAACATAATCAGGGCCTATTTTAAGTAGAGCTGCAAAATATTTTGAGCGCAACATTTGCTTATAGTTTATTAATAAGTATGGGCTATTTTCACTCTTAATTAATCGCTTTTTGTTATTTTTAAAAGTGAAAGGAGTAAGTAACAAGATAATTTAGTACGAAAACATCATATTTAATTACAGCACAAGATTTTTGTGAAGATTTTGAAACTGTGACGATTTAAAAGGCGGAGCCATCTTAGTTAGACCATTATTAAAAATCAGGAAGCACTGAATATCTGTTTAATCCTAGTATTCGATTCTTCAAAAGTGAGTATCTGTTACGCTGTTCAGTGTCCGAGATTTGAACGTGATAGGTGCTAACTCTCCAAACTGGCTACTTAAGCGAGAAGGAAAGAATGGGAGAGGATATGTATTTGGCTAGTGAATCATATACACAACTACTCATTTATATGTATATAAATTTCTCCCCTTTAGAAAATGAATCCATTTCGTGAATAGCGATAAGCATTCACCCTTTCAGACATTTCTCACAGTCATCAAATGACCTCGTTTGGTCACTCCTGATTGACTCTCTATGCCGATTTCACAAACAGCGTTGGAAGTAGAACAGACAGTAGTCGTATCCGGGTGCATACAAATGAGTCCCATATTAGGATAAAACAGATATCCAGAGCTTCTAAGTTTTGAGTGATGGTTTAAATAAGATCAGTCCGTGGACTAAACTGTCAAGATTTCAGTCCCCACGAGAGCCTAATGTTAGCAATCATCATGTGCCCACTATTGAATAACTTCTGTATGTCATTACTGGAGTTCTGCCTAGTGAGAAATTGGAACTAGGAACGCTCGAACATGGTGGATATGAGACATTTATCTACCATACGGAATGGAAGATGACTGCAGAATAATGTGAATCTATCAAAACATACCAGTGAATTTGGATATGGTGATCTGAAAAAATACAATGATTAAAAATATGAATAACAATTTCTTCAAGTCCTAGTGAGAAGTCGTGAACGGTGGTGTTCACCCTTATTCACCGAAGACAGTGGATAAGGTTGTGCAAGACCGTGGATTGATTGAAGCTCGACATTAACACCGTTAGATACCGGGTTCAATGGTCCAGAGGCTAGGCGTTCGCGCGCAAGACCGAAGGTCTTGAGCTCGAATCCTGCGAGTTTCAGGAGTCGTGGATGCGCACTACTAATTAGTCCCATTCTAGGACGAAGCAGTCGTCCAGCGCTTCCAGGTTTCTTAATGGTGGTCAAACAATTATCGACTGATGATTTTTTAACGAAACTCAGCAATCTCCACAACCCTATAGTGAAAATTTTAATTAAGGCTATAAGTTTGACCACTTATCACTCACTCACTCTATAATATCGCATTGCAAACATTCACCAACTAACTTTCGAATAAATCAATTACAGTATTATATAAATTCATAAATTACCAGTAGAGATGTTTAGAAAATCATTGTTTTTATTGTCAATAATTATGAAATATTTACATATGATGATGATATTGTTGATGGTATTGTACTGTTCTTACTATTTATTATTTGTTTTATAGAAAATTCTAAGAACAATGACTTTTTGTAAAGATGCATTTAATAACTTTTAACAAAACATGATTATCATTATGTATATATATATATATATATATATATATATATATATATATATATATATATATATATATATATATATGAGTGTAGACAAAAAGGTAAATTCATTGATGTTTATTTATCGAATAAATTTATTTATATTGATAAGCAAACAAACATCTTACTTGTTCAGAAATTGATACGCATGACCTTAATTAATAATCATTCATTCATTATTCAGTTAGTTAGTAGTTGTTGATCAACATTCAATTCGTTCAATTATCCATTGTTCTTAATCATATTTCCCAAACTGTTTTCATTCATGCTTAAGAGTATAATTGTCCAATTGATTTAAGAAATTTTTTGAAATTTTGATTGATATCATCACTGTTTATTATCACATTCATCCTCAACCATTTGTTATATATATATATATATATATATATTATTGTTTGTGATTAATTTGTTATGCTACTTACTATATATACATATATATATATATATCTGTATGTTTGGTTTATTGTGTTATTTGTAAAATTGTGATTGAATTAATGTGAGCCAATTTTTTTTTGTTTATTTGATTTAGTTCTTGTTTTCCAAACTAATTTACTTATTAAACAATCCACTATTTTCATTTTTTTTTTTAAAAAATCAAGTTTTAAACTCGTAGATAATTAAACGCCCCTCACACACACACATACATCGTCATTCCACATCAATCCGGGTTTTTTTTTTCCCGTCACCAATGTTGTTTGTTGGCTGGCGGCTGATTGCACACACAATTCTTCAATGTCATATCTTCTCTATTATATTATTGTAAACGTGAATGTGATTTATTTATTATTTAAAAGTACTTGCTGACATGCCAATCATGAAATGAAATGAAATGAAAAAAACAACAATAAATTTTGTCAAATTCTATTAGAAAATTCAACAGTCATTGTTGATTTTGTGTCTTATATTATTTCATTTATTTTTTAATCAAAGGAACTACTTGATGAATGAAACTGGTGATTGTGATTGATTAAAAAAAATATATATAAACCTTGGTTATCATCATCACCATCATCATCATTATGAATAGACGATTTTTAAAAAGAAATTTCACAAAATAAAAAAATCTATTTAAATTCATATTATATACTCTACTATCTATCTATCTATGTAACAATTTTATAATCATTAATTAAATTTTGTTTTCTATTATATTTCATTTTTGTCTTAGATAATATCAGCAGTGTGAATTATTTATTACTATTGTCGATTTTATTTCTAGCTTTTTTCTGATCCATACATACATTTATTTATTTCCGTAACCATTTATTTCTATTCTGTATTATTGATTGATATCCATCGATAACCATGTTGTAAGGAAAATTCGACTGTATAATTGACTTTTTTTGCGACTAATAAAAATAAAAGAAAATATAACATCATTTTACGGTTTGAGTTTTCTTTTTTCTTTATTCTTTTTTTAATGAAGTATTTGGAAATTGACTGTTGTAATCATCTTTTATTGATCTGTATTAGTGAATTTTGAGTTAATATCATAAAAATAAACAGTGATGTGTAAATTTGATAGTTTTCTAAATATTTTATTAGCGCATAAAACGCTACTAATTATTTCGTTATCATAATTTCTTGTTAAATTGGGGCTTGAACTATCTCTGAGTTCCTGAAACGCAGACAGGAAGTTCTATTGAGAAGTTGTTCTTTTGAAACATTTGATACAGAGGTTTAATCCAAAGGATGCAAAGTATTATCAAGAGTTGCTATCCTATAATGTTAGATGACCAAATAAGGCACTCAATTTGTCGATCGGAAACTAAAAAAATTCATCAAAATATTGAAATTTACATCAGAATTCAATTTATTTGGTGTAGGTCATGTGTTATGATTAATAAAGGAATTTTAGTTTGATTTCAAGGTGGGTAATCTCCAGCAATAGAAATGTTAAATATGACAGTACCTTACGGCGCGCGCTTCGAATTTGACGTGACCTCGCTGACTTTCTTCCATTTACGGGAAACAATCCGTTTTCGGACTCTAGTTTGGGATATTTTATCACCCCCAAAGCTATAAAGAGTTGTCTCCATTCATTGGTCGACAATCTGTCTACAATTTCGGGCAAACGGAATCATTCCAAGTCAGAGCCGTTGTGCGGTCGTTCTGGCTGCCTCGTTCAACTGATCTTTTTCTGGTTGCTTCGGCAGCATACGCACATTCACTAACTCAAAAACACAGGACTTGTAGACAATTTACTGGATACACGCGAAGTTACTTACTAATACGGTCAAAGGAATAGTTGCAATTTCGGAGTACTTTCAAACTCTGTTCCTTGTAGTTAAATTATATACTACTAAATTCTTGTTTCCTAAATCCACTTTTTGTGTAACTCGTATCTTAATTATCGCGGTTTTCACCTCTTAATCTCTCTGGTATCATGTTAGGTAATAAGGTAGCTAGCACATCTTACAGGAAAACCTGCAGAGGTATAAGCCCCGGGGTTAATAGTGAGTCTAAAATTCCAGTCTCATGCACCGGGTTGTTAAAAACCCAAACCGTCTGTTGATAGCATTCCTCTTATTGGCCATACGTTGGATCACTCAACTCAAACACCACTAGCTCCCAAACAGGGGAAGCAAAACCCTGACTAACATACGACAAAACTGCCGGCTGTTACTCAACCCCCAGCATCTATTAGCAATACAGGACAGTGGATGAATGTGAAGAAGGGGAGTAGCAACACCCAAACTCACAAGCGGCTACCATTCAAGGACAGGGACGATAGAATAAATTCACTTATTTTACTTAATGTGCTAGCATCGGAAGGAAGCTTGTTAGAAAGTAGGACTGCTTTTGACAAAGAGCAGAGGGATAAATACTGTGCACGATGTGCAACAGTGGCGATGGCTATCTCGACGGCTGTTTGCATTTCCAATTTACCCCGACCGTCACACCTTACGTCCATCAAGACACCAAGTCTGATGGCTGCGACTTTTATGAACCAAGGAGACGTGACTGAGGAAGTCCGAGCTTGGTACAGTTCGAAGAACGATCTGTCTAGCTATATCAGGTGCTGCGAAGGCAAACCTAGATCAGTGAGATAACAGCAGTGAGGCCACGATCAACGCGAAAAACTTTCACTTGAACTCGGTACAACCCCCGTCACAAAACACGACTGAAAACCGCACATGCGAAAAAAATGCAGAGGATAGTTCCCACATAACAAGCTAAGCCGGTTCGATTAACCTGAATAAAAATCCGAGAGTGGCTGTTGCTGTAGAGGTGTGCCAGGTGATGAGATAGACAATTAAACACCTCTATAGCAACGTAAGAGGACTAAATGATAAGCTGGAAGAGACCAGTAATATGTGCCCAGATGGATCTGAAGATCACAATCCTAACTGAAGCATGGCTATCCCCTGACATTGCAGACGACGAAGTGAGCTTGCAAGGCATGACATGTCCGAAGCGACAGGGTACACCGAACAGGAGGCGGAGTGACTATATATATAAACAGCCACTTAAAAGCCGAGCGGCTATACGACACCCAACTAACTGAGGTGACACAATCATGTTGGTGTTGTTTCCACACAAATGGCACGAAATACTTGATTGGAGGGATTTACCGACCTCCCTCGGGTACTAAGGCCCAGAAAAACAAACTGACTGAGGTGATACTGCAACTGCCACTCTTGGGGTTTGATCAAATACTCTTAGCTGGAGATTTCAATACCCCACCTCTAAATCTCAGCAATCAGAGTACAACTCCCACTGGTTGGTTCCAAAGGCGGATTGACATAGCCATTAGAAGCTCTAGGCTGACTGAGCACGTATGCAGTACCACTAGATGGACTAAAGAGGGAAAGTCCTCGAACCTGGATTATTTGTTAACAAATGACCAGCTCCCGGTTGAGGACGTTCATGTACATACACCAATAGGTAGTAGTGACCATGTCACAGTCTTGTTTAACATGGTCATAAACGAAACATTCAGGAGGGACGAAAACGATCCCTTCCTAGTACAAATTATACGCGTATGAGAGAGGTCCTCCTACATGCTCCATGGCCACGGGAGCGGTGCAGGCTGACAGTAGATGATCACTGGCAAACAGTGAGATACATTCAGAGTTCTGTCCTAAACAATGTACCCCAGACGCACCACACACCCGAAAAGAGAAGAACATGAGTTAAGTGAGGCACTGAACGCTTGCTACAGGCGAAAATGAGAGCCTTGTACAAGTGGAAGGTCTCTCTGAAGCATTCCGATCGCAGTTCTTACTTGGTATTGAGAAACAGATTCAATACCAAAGTTCGAAGTGATAGGAGACAATTTCAGATGAAGCTAGCTGCCAAAATACAAGCGAACCCGAAGCATCTGTTTAGGTTCATTTCCAAAAGAAAACCTACTAATCAGCGGTTGTGTTCTCTCAAAGGACCGAACGGGGAAGACCTCACCAACCTAGAGATGGCTGAGATCTTCAACACTAACTTTACTGAGCAGTTAAACCAGGGATCCACATGTTCAGAGTACTACTCAAACCTAATGTCAGGTGATGGCCTAGGGAATATCCGTATCACTCCTGACTTAGTACCAAGGAAACTAAAATCCTTACACCCAGGAAAGTCACTAGGTTGTGAAAAATTCGCCACATAGTCTTGAAACAATCTGCGGATGTCCTCTGTTCACCGATATGTGACCTGTTCGGCATTCACTGGAGTCACATCGATCCCCAGCTGAATGGAAACAAGCTACTCTCTCTCTCCAATCTTCAAAGGAGGAGAAAGGACCCAGCCTGTTACAGACCAGTCGCACTACTACCAATATTATCAAAGGTTATGGAAGGTCTAGTGGACGAACAAATGAGAGGGTACATGGATAAGAATAAAGTACTCCATGAAGCTCAACACAAGTTTCGGAAAGGCAGGTCGTATGCATCTAATCTTCTCATAGCATGGGACAGTTAGATATCCTGCTTGGATCGTACAGAACTGGTGCACGTAATATTTCTCGACTTTGCAGAAACCTTTGACACATTACCCCACGCATGCCTAATCGAAAAGGTTGTGGAAATGGGCTTCACCGACCCGCTCCTATCTTGGCTCAGAAACTACCTTGGGAATGGAAAGTTTCGTACCAAGGTAAATTGAGTGCACGCGAGCTGGCAACTATCCACATCGGGAGTTTCACAGGGGACCATTTAGGCCCAATTCTCTTCCTGATATTTATTAATGATTTGTTAGGCTCAGTTAGCTCACCGGCATTGATGTACGCAGACGATGCAGTGATCTGGAGGTCCATTAGAAGCGAACAGGATTTGGCTGAGCTTCAAAAGGACCTTACACCTATTGAGGAATAGGCAGTGGGAAACGGTTTAAAACTCAACCGACCGAAGTGCCACGTCATGCATATTCTGCCTCACACGACGCAAACCATCTACACACTCAATGGAGGTTCGCTCCATAATGTCTCCTCAGAGAGCGATCTCGGATTAATAACCACAGAAAGCCTCCAGACGAGTTCGAACTATGTAGGGGACTCAGCCAAGGCAAATGCGACTCTTCACTTTGTGAAGACGACTTGATGCTATCATCCCAGAATTATTCGTAACACTATTTAAGACGTGTGCACACCCGCACCTAGAGGTTCACAACGTCATCGCACCCTCTCTGCTTAAAAGAGACAAATCTCTTGGATCGAGTGCAGAGATGAGCAACCAAATGGGTGATAGGTTGAAAAATAAACCTTACGATGATAGACACCAGCAATTGAGATTATTTCCACTGAGCTACAGGAGAATCAGAGGTGATCTGATTATGGCGTGCAGAATATTAAACACGCCAAACCATCCCAACGTGAGCAAATTACCGATGCATTGCCACCACTCCCCTCGAGGGAATCTTCGAAAAATCGCACATCAAAGAGCGAATACTCA